CGTCCGGCCCCCCCGTCTCTTCCCGGGGCGATGCCGGCGCGGAGGGCTCGGCGGGGGCGGCCCCCGCCAAGGGCGGCTTGCGGGGAGCCACGGCTTGGAAAGCGGGACAGTGTTTCAAAAATCAGCACCGGGCAAATACCGAGAAATTGCTGGAGCCTTGCCAAGCCCTTTCGATTATTATTTTGAAACGAGAAGGGCAAAAACGGGGTGGGAGCGACCGTCCTGTCAAGAATAATGCAGCCTTTAGACAGAGCCTTAGAGCCGCAGCCCTATTTCAAGTCTGTGTAATAACTCTAGGGAAGCTTTCAAACATGCTATCCGACAGAGGGGCCCAATCCTGCAGGACTCGCTCGAGAGGAGTGAAGCCATTTCGCTGACATTTTTTTCCTCAATAAGGGCTGTGGGATGTGGCTGGAGACACTTAGTGCCAAAAAATTAAAAATAGAAAAGAAAGTTCTGTTTGAACAAGTTGCTCGAGTGAATGGCAATCCCATGAACACCGTGTTTTCCAGCGCCTGGAGTGTAATATTAGGTTGAGTGTATTTTTTTCAATGTCAAAAATCTTATTTGTCTCTGGAGACCTTTAAAATTTGATTCCTCATGAAAAAAAAAAGAATGGAATAAGTGTAACCTTCATTTCCTTTGGATATTTGAAGGTGAGTCCCTGCTATCAGCAATAAAAAGGATCTCTAACATCTCGTAAAACCAACACTTACGAGGATTTGAAGGAAAATTAAAGCGCTAGCACTGTTTCGGGAAATGTATGGAGCAAATCTGTGCAGAGCCCGAACCTGCCGAGTAGCGCAGCTGCGCGGAAAGCGCGGCCGTGGCGCTCACCGTTCCCAAAACACATTCGGTAGAAACGAAAAAAGAAGTCTCCGCCAAGGCACGGATCTACGGGAGATTTGCAATCTGTTAATTAACCACACAGGCCATATGATTAAATCCGTATGGACGGGGTAATTCAGCGAGCTGGCAAGTAGACAGTATGGATTTGGAATATGCCTTTTTTGCTTTTTCGAGCAGTTTTCTTAAGGCACTGACTGGGACTGCTGACGGATAAGTCATCCCGAGCACCCGAGCATGTAGGCATTAACCTCTGCCCGGCAATTAATGATCCCTTCACTCCGTTTAACGAGGAAAACACAGTTTCGGAATCACGCTTGGTATAAGAATAAACTTATCTTAACACGCATTCATGAACACCTCGCTGGGCACTGAATACCAACTGCATTTTTATGAGCAAGGTAAAAGATTGCCCCGTTCAATCCTTACCGAGGTCTGCCTCACGCCGGGAGCTGACGTGAAGAGCAATGTTACGAGCAACTATTAACAGCGTTTAGACCAATTTGTTCCCGCTTAGCCCCTTGCCATTCCCTTTCTGCGCGGGGGCAACCTTCAAGGCCGCGCCCCGACGTGTGCGGGCCGCGCCGGCCACGCGGG